TCTTTCAGAGTAGGAACTTTAGAGTCACATAGACACGGATCGAATCACAACTCCCCCTTTATTGGTAGTGTGACTTTGGACAATTTAAAATGCCTGAGCCTGTTACCTCATCTGTAAAAAGGGATAATCACATCTTAGATCAGGATCCCTAGAATCACACCCTGAGATGAGAATTGTGTGCAAGTGATTTATTAAGAAATGCTTCCAGGAGGGCCAGCCGACTGCCGTGTTGGTTAGGAGTTGGCTTGGGACGCCAGCTCTGAGCAGCAGGGCCCCGGTTCGGATCCCACATGAGGGCCAGTGATGCTGCGCCCTCTACAGCTAAGATGGGGAACAACAGCTCTACCTGGAGCTGGGCTGCTGCGAGTCGCCGGCGACGGTGTAGGCTGCAGCCCCTGCTGCAGTGGGCTGCCATAAGCTACCATGTGTGGCTGGCAGCCACCGTGAGCGGCCGACAGCCGAGCGTGAGCGGCCGTCCAATGCTTGGCAACCGATCTGCCTCACCTGGGAAGAGCGCAATGATAATACCAACATGGGCCAGTGAAGCGACGTCCTCCACAACTAGACGAACAAAAGGACAGCAACTTGTCTGTTCCCCTTCCCTGATTCCCCAATGAAATCTTTAAAAAAAAAAATGCTTCCAGGAAAAACTATATAAGTTACCAGGGTAAGCAAAGTAGGGAAGAAGTGATTTCAGGCAAAATCCTAACATTAGCATGATCCTGGAGGGGAGCCTGGGGGTATAAATTACATCGTAGATTTTCTTATACTAGAGGTGATAGGGCTGGACTCCTATGCTGTGTGGGGCAGTCCTTGGGAAATGACGTCCTGGGAGGGAAGGAAACTCCCAGGTGGTTCTCTCTGGCTCTCTGTGCCTGAAGGCACAGTGAGCCCAGAAGCCCTTGGGCAGTCTTCCAGAGAGAGTCTCAGGGGCTGGCTGCGAGACACAAAAGAACACAGAAGCTTGGGGAAGGGTACCCAGACCCAATCAAAGACATTCAAGGGGATGTGGTGGCTCACAAGCATCCACCTCACAGAATTCGTCTAAGGATTGAATGCACTCACGCTTTCTCTTCTTTAGCTTTTAAGATTCCTGAACTATTTTTCTTTTGGAATAGCATGCAATATCTAGTGCCGTGCTCTGCACATAGAGTGCTCAGCAACAAAATAAATCTTTCTTGACACAGGCATCAAACCCAGAAAGGGTAAAGGAGACAAAGTAAAAATAAAACAAATGTGAAGGATACCAGAATACAATGTAACCAAATTAGTCTGAATCTAACATTTCAAATGGCTGTAATAGAGCTGGAAACTTGAACCACAATAGTTGAGACATCTCTTTGCTTTTATCTCTGAAAAGCTAAAGTTAACCAACCAACCAACAGATAACATATTTGATGACAATAAGTCTTACAGGAAATGCTGTTTTTCCCCCGCTCCGGAAATAATCTAAGTCCCCAGAATACTTGTACATGTAATTTTTTTCTTAAAGGGTCTCCATCTTCTTCTTTGCTACTCTCTGTTCCTATACTGATAATTAACACCTTTAATTTTGATAGCACTTCACAGTTTTAAAGTACATTCACATTTAATTGCATTCAAGCTTTACATGATGCTCACGCAACCTTGTCATTTACATTACCCCCTTTTTACAAACGAGGGAACCAAGCTCCGGGAATTTAAGTGACTTGGTCAAGGTTGCACAACTAAAGGCAGGATGCCAACTTCTGACTCCCAGGAGAGTGCCCTACTCAGGGCTCTACATGGTCCCTTTTAAATGTCTGGTCAGGAAACAGAAATCACACTGTAAGTGGAACAAGGAAATTTAATATAAAGAATTATTAGCTAGTAAAACGTAACTACTGAAAGAAGAGATCACTGAAGAATACAGGAAAACTGAATTTAGAGAGCAACCGCTACCTTTAGGGCTATGGGATACTATCCAAGGAAGGAAAAACTTAGATGAACCTGAACCCCCACCCTCACACTCTACCCTAAAATGGCTGAGAGACAGACCTCATTGGAGGTGATGTGGCTGTGGCCCACTTGATGGCCAAGAAATCTGTTGAGGTGTCACACACTGGGCTGGTGAGGAAACCACTAGTTGGGGTGCCAGGGAAACTTGCTAGGAAGCTGCCCACTGGGACGCCACACACTGGGGAACTGGCCAAACTTACTGGAGGGTATGAAACACTGGTTTCTTGCACACCACTGGCCAAAAAGCCACCCACTGACCACCATACCATAGAAGCATGAAGAAAAGTACTGGAACTAAAAAGTGGGGCCCGTTTTTTACAGTGTTCCTCCAGCACCTTCTACTGACAAGTCCTAACATTGTGCCAACTGACAACAAGGAAATGTGTGTAGGTTCTAATATCACAATTCAGGGCAAAGAAGATGAATTGGGAACTGAGAAGCACTGAATTAGCTGACACACACACATACCTCAATGACTGTCCTGGGTCCTCAAGGGTAAAATGCTTTTATGACAAACTCCTGCTCCATTTGTTTTCTTTTGTCCTAATTACCCCTACAATGAAATGCAGACCCAACCTTTGGGACATTATGCTGAATGTTGGTATGACACATGGTAAGTGCATCGAGAGAGAGAGAGAGAGAGAGAGAGAGAGAGAGAGAGAGAGAGAGAGAGAGAGAGAGAGAGAGAGACCAATGCAGTGATTGAGACCAGGTCTGCAGCGAAAACAGTTGGGTCTGAATATTAGGTTCCCCACATTTGCAGCCTTGCAAGTTAATCTCTGTAGATCTCAGTTTCCTTATCTTTAAAAAGGGATGACAACAGTACCTACTTTATCAAGATCTTAGGAGAAATTAATATATGGAGAGCCTATAGGACAACATCTCACATGTAGTTAGAACTTGATAAATATTAGTATTACCCACACATGTTAGTTTGTAATTGGTGTTTAAAAATACATATTCAATTCTCATTATCAATTTCCATTTAGGATTGTGTCTCGTAATGCTGAAACGCAACTTCTTTTGGTGAGACTGGGCTATGCTACAAAAAGTCTTGCCCACTCCTGGGCAGTGCCTGCAGCTTTGGTTTCAGATCCTGGCACTGCCCTGGCTCACTGAATGAGCCTTATCAGTCGCAGCCAACTCCTTGGGGATCCATTTTCTCAAGTGAAAAGAGACACATGGTTAAACAAATCATCTTTCTTCAAAATCTCTTCCAGTTCTGACTAAATTTGATCTCCCTCTTCCCCAAATAGAGCTATGCTTGAGCGGGGAAAGGAAGGAAATTACCACTTTGAGCGCCTACCCACCTAAGTCAGGCAAGCACTTTGCATGCATTAGCTGATTTTATCCTCATCACAGGCCTATCCGATTAGTACTTTTCACCCTATTTGACCAATAAGGAAACTGAGGCTCACAAAGGTCAAGCAATTTATACTCAAGGTCACACACTCCTGGAAAGCGGCAGAGCCTTTTATTCAAACCTGGCGTTTTTGTTTGGGTCGACTCAACATTTTTAACTGTACCGCTCGCCTCCCACACTGTCTTCATCTCAGACATCAAGAATCCTAATTGCTCAGTGCTTTTCATGCTTTGCTTTAAAGAGATGAGTGGGTGTGCGACTTTTTTTTTTTTTGGTCTTAAACGTGCCCTTTGAAATAAAGCAAATGAAATGAATTTAGCAGTTACACAGATTTTTAAACCACTCCTAACATCTCACACGAAATTTGCGTTGAGTGAAAATCAGCAGCTCTCCTGCATCTTTGGCCTCTGTCCTCACCTGGCTGCTGCTCCTGGCTGCAAACTTGGTGAAGGGAAAGGAGCCTGGTGATGGGTTCCGGCCACCATTCTGCCGCTACGTTCACCCTCGGAGCCTGCTTTACCTTCTCTGTAGGGAGGAGGTTGTCGAGCCAGATCATCATCTTAAGGCTTCTTCCCAAGTTGTCAGCCCGAGTCTGCGGGCTTTTCAGCGCGAGCGCGTGCCCCCGCCGTCTCGGCTGCAGTTCCCGGGTCAGACTGTCCATTTTCCGAGGAGGCTGCTCACTGCACCCTCCACTCCACACCCAGCCCCTTTCTTTCCGCTCCTCCTAACCTGGAAACACGAAGCCCCGGGAATCGCCTTTCTCGACACCTCCTCCCGCAGCTGGGTTCCCCGCCCGGCCCGACGCGTGGGCTCAGCCTGCCCCGGGAAGGGGATGCTGCCTCGCCCTCCCGCCTCTGTCAGGGGGCCCCGCCTGCCGTTCTCTAACTTTTCGCGCCTCCGAGGGGAATTCGGAAAACTCTGCCACGTTCTGATTGAAACGGTGAAGAGACGGAGTCTCAACAGCGAGCTCCTGCGCCCCCCGCGGCTCCCAGCGCCCAGGCCTCCCCGCAGCTCCCCAGCGGGCCCGCAGGCAGCCCTCTCAGGGCCGAATCCCGCGCCAGGGGGCCGGCCCCGCGGCGCGCTCCAGGCGCGGGCTCGCCAGTTCTGCTCCAGCCCAGCCCGCGTCTCGGGCGGTCAGGGCGTCCTCTTGGCGCCGCAGCCCAGCGCCACGCTCGGACCCCGGGAGGCTGCAGAGAGGTCCGCACTCGGCTCGCAGCCCTGCCTGCCGGCCTCCCCACGGCCGGCCTCGGCTCCCCACCTTTCCCACTCCCGCCTCCTCTCGCAGGCTGCCAGGCGGACCCAGCCTGCCTCTCTCTCTGCCTTCACTACCGGGTCAAGCTGCGGAGGGAGGGAGGGGAGACAGCGGCGAAGCGGTCCCCCACCCGGCGCGCGCGCCCCTCCTCCTCTCAGCCTGCCTCCTCCCCTCCTGCCAGTACTGTACAACTAGTGCACACACACACACACATACACACACACACACGCACACACACACGCGCGCGCGCGCACCGACCCGCCGCTGCCACTGCAGCTGCCATGGATATCAGCTAACACCACACACCCAGGCGCGCGCGCGCTCCCACTCGCACCACGCAGGAGTGGCCCCCGGCATCCCTACCCTCCTTCCCCACCCCCACTCCACCCGCTCACCAGCTCGGCTACTGCTCGCTCAGGCTGCCGCCGCCGCCGCCGCCGCCACCACCACCACCGCTCTCCTCTGCTGCGGGGCCACAGCTCTGAGTGTCATTCAAGGGACAGCACAACCTCACCCAAGCTCTCCTACCTCTGCCCAGCCGTCCCTCTCATCCTCCCCCTTCCTCGTCCACACTCCATCCAAAGAAGAGGGAAAGCACCGAACAGAGGGGGAGGAAGGCAAAGTCCTCTCTTCTCACCTCTTGGCCCCCTCGCTCCTCATCCTCATTCTCCCGCCGCCAACGCCCCCCCTACCCAAAAGGAACCCCCTCAGGAGCTGAGGCGACTCGCCCCACTGCCATGTCCAAAAGCTTGAAAAAGAAAAGCCACTGGACTAGCAAAGTCCATGAGAGTGTCATTGGCAGGAACCCGGAGGGCCAGCTGGGATTTGAACTGAAGGGGGGCGCCGAGAATGGACAGTTCCCCTACCTGGGGGAGGTGAAGCCCGGCAAGGTGGCCTATGAGAGCGGCAGCAAGTTGGTGTCGGAGGAGCTGCTGCTCGAGGTGAACGAGACCCCCGTGGCGGGACTCACCATCAGGGACGTGCTGGCAGTGATCAAACACTGCAAGGACCCCCTCCGGCTCAAGTGTGTCAAGCAAGGTGAGCGCAGCGGCTTGCTCCGGGCTTCGCCAGGCAGCTGGACCGCTCGGAGCGCGGGGCAATGGACGGGTGGGCTCGCCGTGGAAGGGGGTGTGTTGCACGGTGGTGGGGTGAGGTCGAGAGAGTACCGGCAGAGCAAGTGAGCTTGGCGGAGGATACGAATGGGGGCTAAATGGAAGGGAGGGCACGATGCGGTGCGGCGTGCAACTTTGTTTGCGCAGTTATACCCTCCCCTTTGGAAGGTGCTCGGCCTTGTCTGACCTCAGAGGTGCAGGCGAGCTCCCGGGGCAAATTGAATGTGCGTCAGTGGCATCGCCCGCCCGCAGTGGATGAAGAGCTTTCAGGGACTGACGGAAGAAAGGAAGGGAGGGAGGGAGGAAGGGAGAAAAAGGAAAGAAGGAAAAAAGAGGGAGGGAGAAAGGGAAGGAAGGAGCAACTTGAGGGTGCAGCGGCATCACTAGCAGGGCGGAGAGGAGCAGAAGGTGGCGGGGCGAGCGGAGAACTAAACCCTCACCCCCCTCCCCCCAATTTGGGGATCTGGACCGCAAACGCCTTGATGCGCAGCAGTCTCCTAGGGATCCCTAAGCCACTAGTTGACGAAGAAGGGAGGGACCGATTGCTTTGAGCGCTTTGACCGCTCTTCCTTAACTTTTCCCTGCTTCACTCCTCGGCCCCCCTCCCCCGCCCGCGGTCAGTCACGTGGGCACCGCGCGTCACGTGCGCACTGACTAACCCCGGCGCTCACCCGGGGCTGGCCCGCGGGAGCAGGCTCTGGAGGAAGGCGCGGCCCTGGGAGCGGGCTCTAGGGTCGGGGGTTAGGGAGGAGAGAAATGGCTCCCCGGATGAATGTGCTGTACTCAGTGGGTGCCCTCTTTCAGTGGAAGTTCTCTGTGGTTGGACTCACCTCTGGCTTCGGATGGTGGCGGGGGTCGAGTTTCTAAGGAGGAGTTGAAGGGAAAAGCTCAGGTCACCTATGAGACGAGCTTCGTTTGAATGCTGTGATGGGGACTTAGGGAGTCTGGGATTTTGGCAGAACTCTTCCCAACTCTGTCTTCGCTTGAAAGAAAATGATGGTCCTGAAGGAGGGAAGAGTGCGAAAAAAAGCTCCTTGGAAAGAAGACAACTTTAGCTAGAATAAAGTAGTGTATCTGTGTTTTCCACACGTGATTGCGTCCGTTTTTCGATCACATGCAAGTTTCCTGTGCGGTGGGAGGGGATATGTGCATATTCACATTCATGTAGAGGTTTGTTGGTGGTGGTACATTGGTTGTCCCGCCTCAAAGATGGAATTGAGCATGTCATCGCCTGCATTTTGAACAACCACTTAATCTTACTTCGTGAGAACTATCAAGAGATACTCTTAGGGAGATGTTTTTTCTCTAAAAACCGGTTTTAAAAGCAAACAAGTGAAAAAGATGTCTCAGATGAAATTTCTTAAAGGTAAATTGTCATGCAAGAAAACGTTTTCATTGGGGATTCTTGAGTATTAGTAGCTGATGACTTGAGGTAGGCTAATTTAAACATCGACTTGGAGGTCAACCGTTGCTCAATAGTGTATGAAATTGAAGAATATGACTTAGGTAGGAAGGCAAATAGAGTATTTTGGTATTTTTCAAGGTGACATACCCGATTCTCAAATATAGGCATTCGTGTGAACCAATTTGATGTCATGATACTGTCTTACAGCAATAGATATAAATGCAAAGTTCTGTTTTGAGGTCAAGAATTCCTTTACACAATTAATGGCCATGGTTTTGTTGGCAGCAAGTTTGGTATTTGTAGTGGAAAGTGGCTGAAAAGTTAATGCATTGTTAAATTTGACTAAGGATAGTATTCTAATGAGGGAGGTGATTGTCCTATTACAGTTTGCAGTGATGACCACGTTTTAATGTTGTATTCATTCTGAACACTACCTTTTGAGATGGACCCTGGCAAACTATAACTGTAGCAGTAAGAATGTGTCCAGGAAAGAAAAAAAGGTAGATTATTGGGCATTGTAGATATCGCCTATAAAATCCAGTGGAAAGACTAACTTGAGAAAGGGAGGACATGAAAAGAATTCTGACTATTCTGTGATACTCGACAGGACAAAATTAAGATGAATCTATGGGAATTTTTAAAAGACGAAGCATCCTTATCTTCATGAAGATGAGCTTTCTAACAGAGCTTTCCGAAGACCTGTGAGCTCTGTTGTGAATTCATGAGATTCCCCATCATTGCGGGTGTTTATGAAGAAGCCAAAACGAACATGTGCCGTGGGTCCCTATGTAAGAAGGGGAGCTGGACTAGGTGTCATTTAAATCCCACCATGATTCCATCCAGCATAGTCTCTGATCATTCACCTTCCATGTTGTATTTTATTTGGAAGGTTATTGCTTTTAGAACTCACGAAATATATGCATATAAAGTGATATTTCAGGGGAAAAGCTCTGCTCTTTTCATTCTGTATCAACCCTCAATTCTGGGCTTCACTGGGTCACTGGTGATGGGTGCTGGTAATGACATTCTGCCACAGAGCCCCACAGGAGCCTGATTCACCTCTTGAATCACTATTGACCAAAAAAGAAAATAATTGCTTCTTTTAGCTTTTGTGGGAAATCTAATCCTCTTGTAAATTCTTCTATGTATGATGATTCATATATGCCATACTCTTGTTGAAATCATCCTTTCCCTTGTCAAATAATAGATAAGTTTATTTTCTTTATCATTGTAAGCAAAGTGAAAATTTCAGAACCTTAGCTAATAGTGCCTGTGTGTCTTGGGTCTCACTACAGATTTTCACTTGCTGAAAAAATACGTAGAAACTTTTGGCTCAGTAGTTTTATTTCTAGAGAACCAATAAACTAGCATAGCTAAGAATTTAAACATGGTTTGTTTAGCAGTTTGTTTTTTTTAATATTCAGATAATTGATTTTTGAATATTCATTTAAACATTGGGTATTATACAGAAACTACATACAAAATCAGTTAAACTAAGGCAGATTTTGCAAAAAAAAGTAAACATTTGAATATCAAGAATATTGATAAAAATTGCAACAGATAAAATTACATTGCTTACTCAACTTTTATTGACTTGTTTGGCTAATTTTACATTAGAGTGGTCATAATTTTAAATTACCATAATTTAAAAAAGGTGAACTACTTGGATTTTTAAGACATATTAGACAAAATAGATGTATCATAGTTTTTCTACATTACTTAAATGTCTTTAAAACTATTTTTAAAATCCATGGAATTAAATTCAGAGAATTCCCTTTTTAATTTAAGCTACTTTGAATCCAGAGTGATGAGTCATATAAAAATACCATTTATTATCACATCTAATTACTTCTTATAAACTGTGGCTTTTTAGTTTATCATAGTAAATCTTCCTCACCAAAGTATTTCAATGCTAAATCTGTGGTTCTGTTCTGTGATCTCATTAATGCATCAGACCCAGTTGAAGGAAGTTTCGTGAGTGATTTTTAGATCTATGCTGAAGTGCTAAAGGTTTTTCTTTTTTTTTTCTTTTTTTTAAGTTTACCTCTAGAGTTCACAGAAGCCAGCTATATAGACCATCGTGTCCTACATTCCTTGCTCTATAGCTGCTACTGCATCTAATACCACATGGGGACCTGTGTAGCCTGGACTTATTTTCCCATTTAAGATCTCACAATGGAAAATAAAAGGCAAAAAGTTTTCTAATTCTTCCCATGTGGAAGAAGGTCCAAATAATGTCTTTGAAATTCAGTTCTAGGGAAGATGTACATTGCTCTCCCTTCTATTGCTCTTTTCAAAGATGCCCTTCAAAGGAAGGTAGAGCCACATTGATTGAGTCATTCTTTCCTTTTGACTGACTTCAGGCTAGTATCATAAAGTTAAACCTCTATGGTTCCTTTTATTTGTAAAGGTAAAAACAAATTATGTCACATTTTCTCCAATAAGATTGACTTTCCTCCATAGAAATTTAAGATATGTGAATTTTATTGACAAATAATAAAATTGTTTAAACAACTTGATCAGTTTTTAGAATGCATCTTTAGTGTATTGAAACAAGGTTAATGGAATAATTATCTTTGGGCATCATTTATGGGGGATGCTACTGGTGTTTTTCAGTATATGTACATAATTTAAATGGTATGACCTTGATTGCTAAATATGACTGCTTTTCATGTGTTTATTTTGACTGAGAGTAATCTCAGGGTGAAATCACAGCTCAAGTATTTAAGTTCCACCATCTCTGCTCTTAACATTTATATGGTGCAATCCTTTGGAATATTTATTTTGCCCGTTTTCCTTTTTAGTTGCTTGAAACTCACACATTTACTTTCATAATGAGTAAAAAGTTTTCACATTTAACAAACTGTATTGCTTGTAGTTTGAACAATGGCTTTCAAATGCATAGCTGACCCAGGCTGAATTAATTCCCTCTAGAGGTGGGATAGATTAGAGGTTAAATGTGGAGTGCCTGGGTTTGAATCCTGAGTACGCCACTTAGTATTGGCTGTATAAGCAAGTTATCTAGCCTGGGGTAGTTATAATATGTTGAGAATGTTAAATAAGTTATGTATTTAAATGATGTAGTGCCTGGCAGATAATAAGCGTTATGTAAATATTAATGTTATTCCAAACTTATTGGTTATTTTGAGCTAGTGACATTATGAAGTGTTTTTAACTTTATATGTATTTTACTTTTAACTGAAGATTAAAAATATGAAATGATTGACTAATTAATAATATGAGTAATTTGGAAGTAATATTCTTGAGGTTTTTCTATAGAGTAAAATAAATCCTTTACTTTGAAAAGCATTAATGTGAAGGATAATGCCATTAAGTGGAATGGGACATATTTTCACCTTTTAAAAATAACTCCCACTAATGCTGCCTTTATTCAAAAGCGACTTTATTATACTTATTTTATACTTTAGCCAGAGTTTATTTTCACCCAGTAATTTGTTCCCTTTATACCTATATCTTTTTCTCCTAAACAGTTGGCAAATATATTGAATCATTTATGCTAG